GGTGGTTAGCACAGATGTTGCAGTCCTAGTGAGCAGGTTGGCTGCCAAGGGAGGGTACGGCCATAGTGACCTTGCCCATATGTCTGGCTAAAAGTCCACTGCTAAGACAGAAAGCAGTAAATGCAAGCTCTTTTTCTGTTGTTTTCACAAGCTTAATAATAATTGGATAAAACTGAAATGTATGTTAAAATTGACATATACTAGCAACACCTTTAACTCTTTCAGCATAAAGTGATTATCTGAGAAAGATTGTTCTGCTTGTCTTTCCATTCTGTCAACTGATCATGTGCCTTAGACAAATTTGTTTAGTTTAGTTCAAACAGTTTCTATCATAAGTCACCAGATTTTGTACTATAATACTGTAATATTGTCTTCAACTGATCTGCTCACAGAATAATAATAAAAATGCAATCAATTGTAAAACACTGAATATCATTAAATCTGCCTTTACCTAGCATTTTGTAGGCGTCATTTCCACAGCATTTCAGCCAAAGAAACAGAAAAAACCTATACTGCTATGTTTTAGTTTTATTTACGGGCACGGTGCTCCTGTCCTCTGCTCTTTGCATTACCACTGTTGGTGTTTTACCAAGGCCAGGGCTCAGCGCCTCCTCCACACACACATACAGCGTCATACCAAAGAGAGTCAGCGCGCTAGCAAGAGCTCATCACGTCAACAAACTTTCAAAACTGAGACCACATCGGCAGATGCAAGACGCAAGCTTGTAGTAGACTTTGAGTCTGTGTGGGCAAAGTCAGATATTCCATTAGAAAAAATTCAGCATCTGATCAGGATGCCTCCTTGACACCTCTCTGTGGAGGTAGTCCAGGCTCGTCCAACAAGGACACCTCATGGCAGACCGAGAATCTTCTGCTCGAAGGATTACATATCCAATCTGCCTTGGGATCCCCCAAGAGGAGGATGGATGTGTTGCATGTTATTCTTAAGTTAGCTTACCGTCTTAAGACCATTATTTAAAGCTGTTTTTAAATCACCGTGTGGCTCGCTGTAATTGCTGAATGATCATTTTCTGTCTTTCTTTTTGTCTTTTTCTTTTTGTGCCATGCATGAGTCAGTCTACTGCTTCAATAAAAACTTTTAAAACAAACAAAACTCTAACTGCTGACAAGCCAGTGTCCCATCACCGGGTCTCATTGGACTGTTCCCAGGCTGGAACAAGTCACTAGAGCCTGGCAGCCATAAGAAAAAACTCTAAAGCTCACTAATAAGGCCTTTCCCGTTGAGTATGAACTGTATCCTGAGGTTCAGGATTAAGTCCATCTTCTGAAGGAAATAAACAAAGCTGTGCAGGGTTTCCCACTCATCTGTGTCTCTTAGCTAATTATGAGGCTGTTAGAGAATAACTGCAGCAGAGCAGTCAGCGACACACTCATCCACTGTAAACACCTCATTATCCTACAGAACCCCACCCAACCATATCAAACGCCTCTTAATGAGCAGTCAGAAATGAGTAGTGAAAATAAATACATCATTTCCAGTGGTTCTGATTGAGCAATTAGAGTCAAAATCTCTTTTGCCCTCAATGGGTTGAATCAATAATGGATCCCATTACAGAACGCTTTTTGTCACCTTGTGAAAGACCTCTGTCATCTCTATCAGATGCTAGTAGAAAGGGTTGAGATTTGCTGTCGAACCCAGTCTTTATTTTAAAAACATACGGATTTTGTACTGAAATATTACATGTTTGAGGACATTGCACTCTCTCATCAAGCCTGGTTTGTGTTCTGACTCTGGATATATCAGAATGAGCATTGCTTTCTCACCTAACATGTAGGTAAGCTTTAAAACATGACAAACGTTTCATGAAGAGAAACACAGGGTCACATCAACACTGTTGTTCCCTTGCCCTGTGTCCAACATTAGTGCCGTAAATCTGTAATGTATCCACCACAATGCAGTGTTCGGTCACGAGATAAATCAAAGAGCCGTTTCATAACATAGAATTCAGTGTTCCATTAGCGCTCTCTCAAGAAACAGGCTGTATGGGAGGCAGGGATATGCAAACTGTCCAATACGCTGTTCAGACAAAGATCAGCTCACATATAATTTTCTGTGACTGTGCGCCAATAAATTAAGCATGCCTATCTAGCCCTGGAGTTCACAGGTATTTCAGTCTTTCAAACTGAATTTCACGCTGGCTCAAGCAAATCTGTGATACAGAGGAGCTGCAATACATTTATGAATATGTACTATATGGTGCTGTTAAGGCAACCTCTCTTCAGCTTTACAACATTATATTCTTGTTATAAGTAAGTTATCTTATTCCCTGTCTACAGTGTTGGAAGGAGGTGACTCCTGTATCTTTGCGTTTCTGTAAGATGTCTTCCACAATGTTACCGATTTAGCTGAGACCTGTTGGTATGCAATCTGCCCAAAGATCATCTGATTAGATTTTGCATGTGATCTAATTCCCAATACCAAATAGCTTGATTTTATACACCGTGTCGCGCATGCTTGTGCGGTAATGCTGCTTTTTCTTGGAAATGTGGAAGACGAAAACATTTTAAAGAGGGTATATTATAGAAAGCAAGAATTGTCTAGTTTAGTTCTCTCCATTTAATCATTTGTTCATTGTTGGTGGACGTTTCTAAAAAGCTCTGAAAAGGTTATGTCCCATGTAATTCTCATTTGCTAACAAACATACTGTACATCATCTCTAATCCTTTCTTGTCTGCAGTTGGACAATTCATAACACTAATGATCCCATCTCATGGAATCCTAGTTCAATGAACACAAACTGACTACAAATAAACAGGTTTCGGGTCATAGTAAAGTCTGCAGCTTTGCTCTGTCAAACACTGGGCCTTCATTCACCAAAATATATAATACATCCCTCCTTTAATGCTCTCTGCTTTTCCATGTAGGTCCATGATTGCTACTCAATGAACATTAATATAAAGAGCTGGGGACATGTGACAGAGTAAATCTACAAAAGGGAACAAAATCCAATTACCTCCAACCGGGGCCAGTATCACATATAGGATCTTGAACTCACGCAGCCTAGGTAATTGTCGGGGGACATTGAATCTTGCTGCATGGAAGCCTAAAGTAATTCTCCAACAATGGGAGCCCGTGTGTCCACGTTGCTACCTCAGTGTTTTCAATTTATTTAAGTCGGCTGATGTCCATTAAGAGGGAAGGTGAGTATTGGCTCTGTCTAGCACAGCCTCTCTTCCCCGGAGAGCGCCGAGCGTCTGGCCTCGTCTGGTATCCGATTGATGATGCCGCCAGGTCTGCAGCTGCAACTGAGGCTTCTAATGAAATCTAGACATTTCGCTGCTGGTATCTTATCAAGCATGCAAAGGGCAAAAACTCACTTTATGAATGGTACCAAGGTTGGTTACTGTCAGACAAAAAAAAATTTGGGGGTGGAATTACAGAAATTTTAAGCTTAACGCTGAATCCAAACACTTAACAGAAATACTGAAGTCCTTTTTCTGCTCAGTGTGTCACTTAGCATCCAGAGAGACGCTCTGTAGTCTGGAAAATTGGAAAACAGCAGCTGGGACTTTGGTTGCATCAATTAATATTCATGTTCTACATAATCCCAAGTGACTAACTTAACACACCTGATCAAATCAATAATTTAGAGGGGGAGGACCATGGAGGACAGAAAAAGAAGAAAAAGGAATAAACCTTATTAAATCTGAGCCCTGGCGAACCTTGGAGTTGAGGGAGTAAAGTCCAATGAATCTCCACACCATTTGAAAAAGAACCAGACTTTCAGCAGTGACCAAACTCCAACATGCATGCTGTGACCTTGTACGCCTCAAAAGCTGTCCATTCTTCAGCTGCCCTGAGCAGTGGACGCCACGTTTTGGAAACCCAGTTAAGGTCACCCACCCAGAGGAGTTAGGCCTCCCTCCCGTTTTGCTATCTTAGCTGTAAACTCAGTGTAAACAGAGCACTGAATGTGTCATGAAAGCTGTAGGGTCAGCTGAATCAGTGTTCACTGCAGGCAAGCCGAAGAAATTCAATCCGCCTACACATTACAATGAAGACTAATGTGCAGGGTTGTCGCCTGGTGCCTCCGTACCAGTCTGTCACACGGTGTAAAGTGGAAATCTTGTATCTCGCAAATCTCAGCTCATCCAGAACCACTATGAGGAGAGATGCCAGGTTTTCAGACGTGTATCTGACAAAATGTTGAAAGCGTTCATAGACCCAAGGAGCGGTCAACTTCTTTTATCTTAAAACCATGTACTCCTTCATTTGAAGTAAAACTAGTGCTGTGAGGTTTGCATACAACAATAGCATTAAATCAATATCATGTAGAAAATGCAGAGCGAAGCTGAAACAGGGAAAATGAGTCACAATGTCAAGTACTCCATCAATCTTAACGCAGACAGCTGAAGTAATTCTACACAACCACAAAGCATCAAGGAAAACTTCACAGACGACTTGACGCTTTCACTGACTCTTCGGCTTTGAATCAATCCAGTTTTGCTTCCTTTGACACCTAAGCTGGTTTTCCAGATGATGAAGGTCAGACTAGGTCACAATGCGATGTACAATGACATGTGCAAATATTTAAAGCTCCTCCATGACAAAGTAAAGGCATTTTTGTTTATGCAATGAGACAAACTTTTTTGGATCTTTCCTTGTTAGCAATTTAGGATCCAAATGTAAAATTTCAAAGGAGGTCACATTTCATTTGGAGGTCACAGGATGTTCTAAAACATTTTTTAAAATGCTTAACTGCAGAGTCTTCACAGAAACTGATTTATATGAACCAGAAAAGAGCCAAATCTGTATGTAGCCTACTTTTTAGCCAGTAGCAACAGTTTTACTTTGCTTGTTAAACCTCCCACGCATCAACCGTATGCAGACTCAACTGTCAACATTCAATGTCTACATTCAAAGACCGCTTGTCCACTCTGCACTCTGGAGCGCTCACTCAGTCGTCCTCTTAAGCCGTCACACAACACTGAGCATACAGGAAGATCTGGTAGATGAAGAGGATCATTCATTTACTCACCCTTTTCTGGTCCTCCAAGCAGTGCAGCACAGGTTTCCTCCTCGGCTGCTGTTGTGGACTAGTCTCCGCTCCTGCCTCCATCTTCCCATAAGTGAGTGTGTACTCGAGCTCTCCCACAGCTGAATATCCAGGCTTTACAACAGGCCTCTTAGGGAATGAAGGGAAATACCCACTCAAAGTTTTTATGTCCCCTTCCCACTTGGTTCCCAGATGTGGTGCATGAATGTCTATGCAAAAATAGGAAAAACTCTTTGTCCATCAACTTTGCTTCATGAAAAAGATAACACCCAATCTCTGAGAGGATCCAACCTCAGCCACACACCTTGTCGCAGTCATATCGTTTCTTGCTGGTTTCTCTTTGCCGCTCTTGGTCCTGAGGGGTTGGTCTGAAGTGAGCATCAAGGCAGAGAGCGGGAACCTGAGATAACCAGGATGGTTCTCTCTCCCAAAACCATCACTGCTACCATGGAGATTTGATCTTAAAAGGAGGATGCGATCATAATGATCCTCTCCACTGCCCGAGATTCAATCTGTCTGCTGGCTGAACTAAAAAGGCAGGCAGGTTCAGTTTCTTTACAGCAAAATGAGCATCCACCAATATATAAAAAAAAAAAAAAAAAAGAAGCAAAAAACAAACGTCCAGCAAAAGCAGCTGAGTAAAAGCTGGTGTCACTCACAGCTCAAAGGTCAAGTGTGGTATCCTTACAGTGAACAAGTGCTTGTGATGAGAAAGAAAACAGAGTTAAATTGAAGCATTTAAACAAAGGCTGTGGTGTCAGAAATAACTTAAGACACATATTCATATACACTCGATAAACTACATCTGATGAGAGACATATCTGAATTACAATTACTTGCAAAGCATTCCAGTGCTTTAAGCTGCCATTTGTATCTATTGCATCTAGGAAATAGTTTATACGTGGAAGTAAATGTGGGGAACCAGAGTTTAGGCAATGTCTCAACAAACCGCCAGCTAATTGCTGCAGGTGTGGGCTTTTCTCTCATTCACACCATGAAAAACACTTTTTGGTTTTGAACTTTTTGTTGGTCACAAACTTACTATGGTGCTATGCAGTCCTTACAAGTTGCAGTAAAGTATTCAGCCTGTACTTGACAACTGACAAACATTAACTCAAGTGTTGGCATCTGGAACAAACTGCTTGCCGAAGGTTTGAGCTACTGCAGCATCCCTACAGCAGAATCTGCGAGACGTCATAGGCTGCCTGACAGACTCGCTGCTGCACTGAGCTTTCTGGAAACTGTTCGTAATTGCCTCAATTAAACAACATTAGATAAACTACAAGAAAAAATAACCACGGCAGACAAGAATTTGTGGTAAGAAATGATGCTCACCCGCAGTTCTTAGATTTTCCTTCCCGGGTGGAGATGGTCCTTGCTTGCCTCGTGCGTATCGCTGTCCGTTCCTGTGGCTGAGAGCGGAGCAGCCAGCTGCTGCATTCAAGCGCTGTCGTATATATCAACTGCACGGGATTCTTTGCAGCAAACTCTCTTAAATCTCTTTTTTTATATATATAAATGTCCATTTAAGTGTATCTTGTCGTTTTATCTTGATGTTTTTAGGCTTTGTTCTTTTTTTGTTTTGTGTTTTTTGCCTGTTTCCTTTACCAGACTGATTACCAGGCTGATTTAGTGCTTTGCATTTAGTAAAGCACTTTGTGACCTTTTTTTTTGCAACATGCTGCATTGACAAAGTATGTTGTTGTTGTTCTTATTATTTTAGGAGCGAGGACGAAAAAACTGGATCTGTCATTTCTCCAGCAGAACTATCAAGCAAATCTCAATTATATACAATGCTCTAGTTTGCCACGCATACACATTCTCATATCTCATGCGAAACTGATTTTTATTAACTAACATACACAGGCTAACTTATGAAATTGAATTACATAAAGTAATTCAAATTCAGTAAAGTAATGATCTGAAGTTAGAAATCCCACACCAGAATCATTAGTAGGCCTATATAAAGATTATTGGCCCACGGCAGATGTGTTTATCATTTTTATTGCGCTCTGACTGTTTTTTTGTGATCATGCAGACAGACGGGGTCCACTTACCCAGTCGCAGTGGGTGGCCTAATTTACGAGGCACAATGGAAGGCAGCATGAGGGTCCCACTCGCTCTCTCTCTCTCACATTTGTAACATTACGTCACTGTGTGTGCTTCAAGCTCCGCTCCCAACATCCTTTAAGGCGCTCGTCGGTTTCCATGGTGACTCCCGGTAAGGAGGGCTCTATCGCCACCTATCGTCGAAACAGAGACACGACAATCACAAAATGAGGAGCCACAACAACTATTAAAATCATATTATCTATCATGGCCCAGACTCTCAGTATCCAATTCACATTGTGATCACATTAAGCCTTAATACGCATACTTTTATTTGGCTAAATCATGTAATCATTTAATTTATTATTTTGTTTTCACTTATGAAACCCATTGTCAACTGCTTATATGGCCGCGGGGGGGGGGGGGGCAGGAGCAAATCCCAGCTGACATCGGGCGAAAGGCAGGGTACACCACTGGACAGGTCGCCAGTCCATCGCAGGGCCACACATAGACGAACAACCACTCACACTCACACCTAAGGACAATTTAGTCACCAATTAACCTAGTCTTTGGACGGTGTGAGGAAGCCAGAGCACCCGGAGAGGACTCACGCAGACACGGGGAGAACATGCAAACTCCACACAGAAAGGCCGGGACGACCATGAAACAATTAGTCGATCAAATAATTTACAACCATTCTTATCAAGTAATCGTCCCAGTCATTTTTCAAGCAGAAATGCCACAATGGGCTGACTCCAGGTATCTAAAGCTTTTCTGTCTTGTCTTTTCTTGTCATACAGTATTCCAAAATAAAAGTTAATCAACTTACCATAAACTACACAGAAAACTTGAAGCCAGGAAGTATTCTTCCAGCACAGGAGTACTGTTTGGTCTTTGAATTTCTATAAAAAGCTGCCCCTAGTCTGCTGTGTTCTGTGCTCTATTCACATTTGGCTGTGCAGCAACAAGGGTGGGTGCATTTAGGGACTAAACCTAACACCTCTATTAGCTGAAAATCAAAATGCAGCAGGTAGCGGAGATGCTTTGGTAAACCTTAACTGAATCTTTCACAGCTTGAAAGTGTTGGAGGAGCGTACAGAATCTGCCCTGGATCCTCTAAAAGATTAATCTAGCTGTGCTCCTATAGAAAAATCATGTGAGATTAACATCACAATAAAGTTTACATCAGCAGCCCTAAAGGATAATTGTAGAAAAGGTAGTTTCACATTAAAATAATTCATCATAATGTTATTGATAGTGGTGGATGAAGTATTCAGATCCTTTAGTACTAATACCTCACTGTAAAAATACTGTGATACAAGTAAAAGTACTGCACTGAAAATGTTACTTAAGTTAAAGTATGTAAGTATAATCAGGAAAATGTACTTTTTAAAAGTACTAGAATTAAAATGTCCCCTGTGACTGTTACCATTATATATCATCAACACAATCATCATTATTATTATTCAGTTAGGTGTTTATGTAAAAGTAGGATTTTACTAGTTGGTTGAAGTTGAACTATTTTGTATCATGAAAATCAGCAAATCTTCACATTTGTGAAGCTGGAAGATGAAATGTTTTTACATTTAAAAAAAGACAATTATCAAAATAGTTCCCAATTACATTTCTGTCAATCAATTACTGTACTTGATGTACTTGTATAAATCGTTTATACAATTATACAATCGGTGGTTTAATTTATAACCAAACATCCTATTTTTTAAACTCTTCTGTGTTTTGTGTGTAAAAATCTTACTTTGTAAAGTAACCAGGGGTAGGCTTAGGGTAACATATTATAATGTAAAATCACTTTAACAGGTACAAAATTACACATAAAATAAACTACAAGTAGCTGGTTTAAAGCCAGGAGATCATGTTATAGGCTTATGTTACTAGCTTGCTTATCATATATTTCTCAGACTTTTCAACAGTGAGGTTGCCGGGATCTTCATCAGCAGAAAGTCTGAGGTAAAATAAGATTATAAAATAAGATCTAATTTATATATATATATATATGGTCGGGCATGGCACCAGCAAGATTGCCCAGCAACAATGCTCAAAAAGTTGCTCCATGTATCATCAGTTTAAAACATTAGATCAACTTAAATGTCAAAATCGCTTTGATAAAATAACTTCAAATATGTGATGAAATAGAGGAAATTTGTAGTTGAGTGAGACTAGCGGCAGCCAGAAGAAGTGTTGAGGGGGGAATTACACAGGGCGCATCTTACCCTGGTCTTTTTTTATATACAGTCTATGGTCTTACCCCATGTTACCCTACCTGAAGCTGTAAGATAAATGTAAGAGAAGTAAAAAGTAGCTACAGTATTTCCCTCTGAGATGTTGTGGAGTAGAAGTAGAAAGTGGCATAATACTAAAGTAGGCTAAAGTACCAATACCTCTACTTTGTACCTACAGTGAGTGCATGTACTTAGTTACTGTCCCCCACTCAATGAAGACTAGGGGATGTAGGACTACGTGTAATGTTACAGTCTCTGATATCTGGGCCCGCCTCTCTCCTACAGGCAGGAAGTGCGGTCGGTGTGGGGCTGACGTGACGTGCTCGCACTGGGAGGGCCAAATGCTGGTGGTCACCCACACAACTGGGCCAACTTTTCACAACTGTAGTAAAGTTAAACAAGAGGCCATTGCTTACTAGCAGTGTAAAAAAAAAAAAAAGCAGAGCCGCGCACATTTTGTACTACTTCACTTTGAGGGGTTTTATGTTTATTTTAGCCTGGAAACGAGTTCAAATCCACATTTTAGCGCTCGGACTTGTTTTTTTTTTGGGAAATAACTCATAACGTTAGCGGGTATCCAAAAGACATTCCCGTGAAAATGGGAAGTTGCCTGTGAGCAAGTGAATTCGTGAATTTGGGTAAGTCTCTGTGTATTTTATCTAGATAACGTATGGACGTTTAAAGCTCAAGATGTTTCGTTTAATTAAAGCTTTGGTTTCGGTGTCGCCGGGTTAAACTTTACCGCCTCCTCTTTACCAACTGCTTCACTTGCTTCACCATGTTAATAGCGTTAGTTAAGGTTTCTCTTTTAAAACAAAGCAGTGTTTGCGTGAAACGTTTCTGGATTGTCTGGTTTTACTAGCCTAACGTTATATTTTGTTATTAACTGAAGTTAGCGCCGATCAGGGCGCTCGCTACGTGACAACAAACTAGCATTTAGGGGGATCTTACGCTTTCTTAAAATGAATCACCGTATGAATGTAACGTTAGTGATGATGCGGACTTTGATAGAAACTTGTGAAAGTTTAAAGCGAGACGCCGCTGTTACCGTAAAAAAAACGTTCCGCGCCAAGGATTTCAAAAACAGTTTACCTGCGCGGGACACTCTGTCTACTTCCTCTACGCTGCCTGGCGCGGCGCTCCCATTGGCTGCTCCCACTGAAAAAGGGCGGTACCGCTGCGTCCGTTGGGCCCGGCGATTCGATGGAACGCACGTCAGTTACCGCCAATATCAATCTGTGTGTTTTGATTAGATTTAAACAGATTTTTGTGATCAATTTCACCAGATAGGGAAAGCAAATTAAATGTTAAAATGTGACGCTGTTTTGAAAATGCTTGTATCCGACACATATGTTCCGCTCAAAAAGAGGTAAGGCTTAAAAGATTTTACTGTAATAACTTTACATTGATGGTGAAATGAATGAGCAACCCTTTTTAATATAGATAAAACCATATACCGTTACTGGATTAATGCTTCTTGTTAACAGGGCTGTTACACTACAATAATAAAGTATGAAAAATTACGTTGGGCAAGTTTAAAGTTTGTTAGATGGAACAAATGTTAGCTGGTTTAAGGTAATTGCTGCTTTTTGCCTCCACCCTTAACATACTGTTAAGAGCATATAAGGGTTTTTAAAGATTTTCAGATTACTATATTACTGCATATTTAACTTTAGCAAATATAATTCTTATTACATTCTAATGTTAAGGTGGAAAATATTGAGTAAAGCGCATTAATTTCAAAACCTGACCCAGAAATCTGATTCAAAGGTCAGTAAAGTACTATAAGTTATGTTTCTGAACTTTAGCACTGGATGATATGGCCATAAATGATTATCATAATAAAAAAGTTCATATAATTCAGTATCATTAATTATCACAATAGATGTCAAATCATTATTTAATTAAGTTTAAAGGTTGATTTTTGCTGCTGAGTGAAAGAAACCAGGTAGTTAATTGTGGTCTATTCTTTATAGTCAGAACATGACAAACACTTGCCAAACAGTGGATCACTTAACAAATCTGAAAACAATTGTGATTTAAAAAAAAGTCTCTTTTCCTCAACAACAAAAACTCTTAATAGAAAGAATAAGTCCTAATTCCTTTCTGATTCCAGTGAATTAAATAAAACAT